CCAGACCCAACTGGGGCCAGCTATGTGTAATTTGAGTGGCAGGCTGGCAGGCAATGCAGACAGAAGCATGCAATGAGAGGTTAGATTTTCACCCGATTAGCTATTTTTGAAGCTGTCTGTAGCTGCGCACTGTGTTTGGTCATGGCTATAAACAGCTTTCTGTGGCCAGATCAGGTGAAAATTGTCACTTCTGTCTGCACCCACAGGAGCATCTAAATAATTTTACAGTGAGCTTATCATTGTTTTAATATATGTAGTAAGATAGTTATAGCAATGTTATTTTTATACTTACGTTTAAAGCACATTCTTTTTGATGAAAAACCACGTAAAGGGATGAAGAATATTAAGTACTTAATCTTAGGCAAAGCCAATTTCCTCATTTAACAGTTGTAATCTTTTGTTCATTCCTTGTATAAAGAACAAAGCATCATAGGAATCATGCATGTAAGAAGAACAGGACATAGAAGGCTAAGCCTCTCATATGTCTCTTTCAATGTATAAGGCACGCAGAGACAGGGGAGCAGCTGGCTACTCCCCTGTCTCAAGGCATATTGCACCCCAGCTGGCTGAGGCGCAGGGTGCCACAGCGCAGGGGCTCTGCAGTGTGCAAGATGGGGGAGCCGGCAGCGACATGAACAGTTTAACATGCAACGTGTGGTTTGTAACCTGGCAAGGAGGCTTGCAGAGCCACAAACTGAGTGTGTCTGCATGCCTGGATCCAGCCAATGGGTGCATCTACCCATGCCATTTAAGGTGACTTGATAAACTCCAGTGCAAACTTCCCAGGCATAGTATCTGCACGTGCACCCAGGATTACAGAAGTTTGAGCTGGGATGGAGCAGCCCCAGGCTGGCAGCAGGCTCAGGTGGGTCAACCCTGAGCTTCAGGTAGAAGCTTTGGAGCTGGCTAGGACACAGGAGTGAGGAGCTAGGTGGCAAGCAGCCCCTAACTTTAGCACCCTTGTGCCCCAGCAAGCCCTTAACAATTTACACATGCATTTCAGTGCACATGATTAATCTACCATATATTGTGCTATCCTACAGTGAAATTAATTAAATTTACTGTGCCTTAATACTGGCACACATGTAGATGATGACAATTTACTGCGGAGCTAATTAGTCAACTCCGCAGTAAAGGGCATGTGTAGATGCACCCAGTATAAGCAACTGAAACAAGCAAAATTCTGATCATACTGAAGTCAATATTAAACCATTCAGTGATGGGGTGGGTCACAGCTTAAGTCAAATCTGGTTTATTATGTTCTGATGTTAATAAAAATAAACTTTCAATGTTATTCGTAAGTACTAAATCATAGAACCTCTAAATCCTCATATGTTGCTATATCAGCTTTCTGAGGCAGTAGGCCTTCCATTTGGTTTGTATACAAGTGAGAAGATCAATATATACACCCATTATATGATCCAGACTTAAGTAAAGATGTGGCTTTTATTGTCTCAGTATCTTAGTTTTAGAAAAACTTACAGTTCCAAGATCAATAATGAAACAGTCGCCTTTGTTGAAGCTGGCCCAGCTGAGGGGAACTTCTGTGGCTCTTACTACGCGCCGGCCCTTGATATGCAGAAGTCTCTGTGCAGTCAGATCATTAGTGACCACATGTTTAAAGCCAGAAGCAACACCACCTGCCTAAATATAAAAAGAGCATTAAAAAAAACAACACTTCGGTTAAAGCTTTTTTACCCCTGTGAATTTGTTTTTGATGCATGACAACAGCAAGTAAGAACCCAGACCTCAGACATACATACAAGAGATGCATAGAATGTGCTTTGAGCTCATCAGTACTGACCACAAACCACCAAGAGCATCAGGCAGCCAGACCTTGCCCCTGCATTTCTATCAGCAAAAGGAAACCATTTAAATTCAGCTCCCTCGTGGTGTGGAACTACCCTTGGATTCTGCCCTGACATTAGCAACACACATTCCTAGGAAAGCCCTCTGAATAAGGAATGGAGAAAGTGGCACCAACTGGTCTCTTCACATTCTCTACAGCCATGTGGAGGTATCAAGTACAGCCTTTTGGTGACCCAGACTGTTAGGGCAGAAGTCAACAGGGCAGTCTACATGGACTATACAGTATGAGCAAAAAAGGAAGGGTGATTTTAAAACAGTTCTTCGGGACTACATGTAGACAGTTTACTGTCCCTGGTAGTGGCACCCAACATGAGATGCTGCTCCATACACACTAACCGGGAGCACTGTAGATGCCTCTCTGTGGTAACTACCTATTACCTATCCCTTAATTAGCCTGTGGGCAGGCTAATTGAAACTACAGAATCAGTTACTCTATCCCTGGTGGGGCAGTTACAGCTAGTTCAATTTCTGTTGCAGAAAAGCATGCATAGAGCAAGGCAGTATGTTTGAGGGTTATGCTTTGGATACGGTAAGTCTGTGGTCTAGACATGGCATGGAGTCAACTTCTTTGGTGTGTATACATGTGCTTGGGGAGTGTATGGGTGAAGAAGGCACTTTAACTAAAGCACTCGGAGCATCACGTGCATCAGCATCCCCACGCTGAAAAATGGCAGTGGGGATGCTTTAACTAAAGCTCATTGAACACTTTAGTTAAATTGCCCCTGCCACCATTTTTCAGCATGGGCACGCTAGACTTTGCTGGAGTGCAGTAATTAATCAAGTAATTACAGTACGTCAGAGCAGCCTTGCTGCACGTGTATAGGTGCCCCTTGTGCCTAACGTGGAGTTTCCATCTAGGAAACAATGTGACCAAGTGTATGCTACTACAAAGGAGCATTCATAAACTCTTTTCCTTGGAGCTTAGCCTGACCTGGACCACATGTCTACATTCAACACTAAACACTTTACAAACTGTCCAAGAATCCATACTTCTTGATGAGGATGAAGAAAGAAGTAGGAGAATAGGTGGAACCTTGGTGACAACTCCTCCATTTCCTGAGGATTTCATTTATTTATTTAGTCAGGATTGGACAACCTAAGTACAATAACCCTTCACATGGTTGTATTACAAGGAGCACCACTGTGAATTTATACTGAAGCTTATAACACCTGATTCTTCAACTTCATATTAATGTTATATTTTCAGAGTGCAACATCTAAAAATGAGGTGGGTGGTGCAGGTTGAAGATTTTAAGGTTTTGAAATGTTGAATAAAGTTTGATTATAATTTGTTTACAAGAGCTGGCTTTAAAAAAAAAAAGCCCCAGCAAACATTTTTCATTAATCTAGTCGGGAAGGACAACCAAAAAGATTTTTTCAAGCCAAAAATAAAAAAAAATAAAGGAGGGGTATCTTCTACATTGTTCTTCTTTCTTATCTGTCCCTATGCATTGGTTGCTAATGGAACCAAAAGCAGAAATACCCTGAAGCAAGAAGACTGAGCTTTGTTCCTCTAGTATTTACCACCCACCTATGAGCAGACATGAAAGAAAGCCTCAGGATTATGAGATTGCAGAACTGGACTGTTAATCCTTATGCAATCTCAAATTTTTGGGCAACTTCCTCCACTTATAACAGGCATGTGGACAAGCAGGAGGCACTTTTCTGTAAGGCTGGACAACCATGGTCAGCAGACTTTAAGCCTGTAATGTGTTCTGAAAAATATTCCTTTTCATGCCTGTTCTTTGTCAATAAATCAAATAACACCTTAGGCTGAAAATACTGCAATGGTAATCAGTTCTGTTACTTGGAGAAAAGTATGAGGCAACGTACCAAAGTAGAAGCAGATCATATATAGTTATTACTGCAGACCATGATATTTCTATAAAACAATTGTAAAATTACAAGTAGAATCTGTTTTTGCAAAAGCTCTAAGCAGAGGAATAATAAGGTACCCAGCTACCTGAGGCTGCTGCAACATGGGAGCAACATAAACTTCCAGCTGGCATAACAGTGCATCTGTGGTAGCAGCTGGTGGTTTTCTGCCCCTTCCCCGCCCCCAGCCCCACCTTAAATCAGTGCCTGCGTGAGTCACCCTGCCCTACTGGTTCTAATACATTAAATATGCCAATAGGATTACATTTCATTAAATGTAGGTAGAAACCAAAGTATTTTCTTTTGCCCAAAAGGGGTTGTTTCTGCCTTCAGAAAAAAAAAATAAAGGTGTTTTTGAAGGTGATCTACCTTGTACTTAATGCCGCCTTTGAAATATCCAACAAAATCAGTAGACTCATATCCTTGAATTTCTCTACTCTGCACAGGCTTCCCTCCTAGGTAGTCATCCATCTGAACAGCAAAGATGGCTGCAGCTGCACTTTCATCCTGAGTACATTCTTTTCCTGAAATTATAAGAAATAGTACACTTATTTAACAATTCAACCTAATGTGTTGCCTAATAGATTTGTGGTTTCTTAGGGCTACATTCAGCAGATTATATATTTGGTATATTCCAACATTTTCTTCCCATCAGAGTTCTGACCCTTCAGCAAAAGCACTGAACATCCTTCAGGACCATGTCTTAGGTATTCTCAGACCTGGCTTTCTATAGAATGAAACAGGAGATGCAAATATCTGATTCTTTCCCGTCTTACCTTCCCTGAGTAATACAATTTGAGTTTAATGAGACAAACTATTTTATTTGAGAAGCTGCTTTCATTTTTTTTATACTATTATTATTATTTGTTTTGAGCTGGAGCATGGAAAACCCTAGGGAAGTCCAAGAGGCAAAAGACAGTGTTTACTTGGGATACTAATATCTAAGATAGGATGGGGAAACCAAGTTTCCTGAACTGGAAGTACCAAGTTTCCATGTCCAATAAATTCAGTGCGTCACAGGGCTGAGGTGGGTGTCAGGACAGGAACCCCCATTTCCACCCCCCAGGCAAGCTGTGCATGGGGCTGGGGCCAGCCCAGCGCTCAGACAGAGCAAACAAGCTTTGCCCAAGACTTATAGCAGCCCTATGCAATGCCTCCTGGGATGGCAGTGATTGTGTTCTAAGTTAACCCTCGATGGGATCTGGCACAGATGTTCGACTAAGTGCTGTAACAGAAAGTGCTTTAGGTTAGTACACATCCATCCAGGTTAACTTAAAGTGGGATTTGCCTTTTTAATGCAGTTTGTACACCATGGATGTCTGGTCTGTTACAGCTGCAAAGCACTTTCTGCGTGTTTAAAGTACATTAAGTGTAATCGAACCTTAGTGACTACAACTGAAACTTGGTTTTGAGAGGAATGGTGTAGCTGTTTTTACCTGTGTATCAGAGTTTCCTCTGTATACTGTAATCAAATGAAGGGGTATTAGCATAACCAGTCTTCTAAAAGGCAGGATCATACATGTTCCTGGCTTTAAAAGAAATGTTTTAGTTTAGTAGACCAGCAACCCCCGCAACTAGGAATCAGCCAGCCAGAAGACAACTATGAGAAATTTAAAAGTACAGTTTTGATGGGCTTTTCCACCTCATGTAGGATGGACTGGACAAGAGAAAGCTCAATCCCTGACAGCTTGATCCTGAACAGCATAGCTCAATTGGTTTCCAGATACCAGACCAGTTAGTGTGAGGTCATACACAAGACAAAGTTAAGGAGCCAAGGGCAGAATGGTAGTGAAACACTTTCATATATTAACAGCTTTTTATCTGAAGACGGGCACCTGTTTAAAATTACTGTTAAACGTCTAATTAGAATTGTACATCAGTCCATCAGGACTAGATCTTATATCTTTACAGCATGCAATTATGACATAGGGTTCAGGGTTCAAGGAAACAGCCGTTAGAGCACCGTTATAAAATATTTATACTGATTACCAACTAAAGTGCATGGCTGGAAAATGGGAACTCCATGCACATTTAAAAACCAAGGATATTAAATGCAACTGAGTCTTTTCATATACCAAATATAACAGCTGCTGTGCAAAGATGATTGTTAGTGTGATATTACTTAAAGTCAGGTGAAAATCATTCTGGACATAGAGCAAGCTCTGTTGAAGTTTATGGGTCTAATTCTTCATTTGTCTACCTCAGTGTAAACCGAAAAGAGACTCAGGGCCAATTAATATATATTGGAGTTGATCTGGGCTCCTTGGGTACCTATACACATGATTCGATGCATTCTAATTAGAACATGTCAGAGCAGACTCGATTAATCAAGTCTCCTGGAGCATTCTAATTAGAATGCTCCAGCGCGCTGCAGTGTCACATGTATTCAGTGGCCCGCATTTCAAAATAGCGGTGGGGGCACTTTACCTAAAACTTGTCAAATGAGCCAATTTGAAATGTGGGCCGCTGAATACATGTGATGCTGTGGCATTTAAATTAAAGTGGCTGTCCAGGAGCTACTTTAATTAAAACACCCCTCTACCACCCTGCCCCAGAGCAGGTGTGTAGACACCCCTTGTGTCCACTTGACTAATTAATTTCTGGGGGGGGGAAATATATAAAAAGCCCCAAGCCTTTAGAATTAGAAAAAATCATGGACCAGCATGACTTTACTTGTGTGGTTTCAAAGACAGCATTGCCAGCTAACATTTTCAGTAACTAAGAACCCAGAACATTGACGCCATCAGATCACTCAATCCTATTTGGCAGCACTGGTATGCAAAAACTAAACCTAAACCCCGTAAACAAAGCATCCAAAGAGCTTTTCCATATGCTACAAGGGTGAACCAGAAGATACAGCTGGTAAATGGATATTAGGTATTAATGATGTTCTAAGGAGGCATGGTTTGAACAAGCCAATCCTTGGGGGGCAAAGCACAAGCTGCTACCCTCAGCAATAAGCCAACCAATACTTGCTGAAAGGAATGCCAAGAGACACAGAGAGATCTTCTCCAGCCTCAGGAGGATACTTTGGCTAGGGACAGAAATGACACATAAACAGGTATAAGTGATCAGAAACCGATTTAAATGTGTAACATAACAAAAAGTTCAGTGCACATAAACCACTTAAAAAATGGCTGAAACCGGTATAAGATAAACCTGGATGGCTGTAGTTTTAGACTCCACTGACTGAAGTTAAATCACTTTATTGAAGTTCTGTCCCAGATGCCCCCAAGATTCAAATTAACTCAGTCCCCCAGCATCCCAGGATACTTTGCACCTCCCCTCAAGGTAGGCAGGCTATCCTTGGCCCAAGCTGTCTGCTCCAGCCAAACAAGAAGGCATGCTTTAGCAGCCCCTGGCTTCTGACCTGGGCCACTGCAAGCATGTGGCTGCACTTCTGGAATCAAAAGACTAACCTGTGAAGATTCAGCCTTGGGCTTTTTGACTGTCTTAGCCTTTGGGTTATAGACAGCAGATTATATTAGCCCAGGCAAAGTACTCTGCTAATGCAGCCAAACTACTTCCAGTAGTACAGCTGCATTGTAGCTGGCTCATCTAGCAATAATTTGGAAACCTCTGCACAGCTCTGCATTGTGCCTGGTGGACCTACTCTTATGAACCTGACGCACTAGCAAAACATTTCTCCACTTCCTATTGCACCACAGGCTGCACAAAAAGGGACTGATCTAACCTATTACACAAGGGATTGGTTATTGAAGTCTTCACAGCCACAGAGCAAAGAGCTATGAATACAAGTAGTTAGTTGATGCTGGTCCGTTTAATGCCCTTGCAGATGAGAGTAAATTGTTATATGATCTGGCCCTGTGTGTGCTCTACACGGGGGGCAAGTAGAGTTAGAAAAGTCAAATAATTGAGAAAGATCTCTCGAATTCTAAGCTCTTTTTCGTGTCACCAGTGCCACACCTGTAAATTGCATGAGATTTTTGTTTAAAAATATTGTTTTTGAAGAGTGGAGAGAAGAGCCTTTTGGAATACTTCAGTCAACTGAAGTATGTACTTTATGTCTTATGGCATCTGAGAGACTGGATACAAAGGAACTTTTTAAAACCAGATGCACATTTAAAAACTCTGCTGATTCTACTCTAGGCTACAAACAAGACGCTTCATCCAAGATCAAGGTTCTTTTTACACTACATCGATATAACAAAATGACAGTACCTGTCCTGAGGTACTTTCAGTCTTACAATTATATCACAGAGAAAGCCTCACTCACTGTTCTAAAGTACACCCTCAAATGCTTTTACTCAAGGTTCTCCCCACATAAGGAAACTAAGTTCAATGTGTCATGGGAAGTATCATACTTCCAATATTTCTTTGGCCCTGTTATATTACTTAGCTTAATTATGGGATCAGGGAGGTTATTATACAAATGCAGAGATTTCATCCCTGGAGCCAATTACCAACTAAAGTGCATGGCTGGAAAATGGGAACTCCGTGACATTTGAAAGCCAAGGATATTAAATGCAACTAAATACAAGCCTGATTTTTGATCAAATAATGAACCTGAGAGTATGAGGAAGATGCACCAGTTAGACACCTAAGAGGATTTACTGTACCATCAGAGCATCTGCAAATGCTTCTCATTATCCCATCTCCCTACATAACCAATCCCTGAGGCTTTGGAGGAAAGGGAAATAAATGTAGAAATCAACCCATGCATCAGAAGACAACAATTCCTTCCTGACCCCTGGTTTAAACCTGCTACATGAGATCTGATTACAATCACTGTCCTCACAAAGAGCTGCAATAAGATACAGGTAAAGCAAAGCAAGCCTATTTTCTATATTCACCCTCTTTCTTCTCCATGAAAGGAAATGAACAGAGACTCATCTCTACAAATGCCAATGCCTGGGATGCTGGAAGGACAATCACAACCATCCAGATGGGCTCCTACCCTAAGCCCAAATGCCTTCTCCCAAACATTATGCAATATGAAGCCTAAACACTCATATTTAGAGCACTATACACCTGCCTCCTCCAAAGCACCCACTCTTCTGGATACCAATGTTTTTTTCTACCTGCTATGCCCTGTTAGTTTGTTCATGAATACAAGGATATTCTAAATAGAAAAAAATCTTAAGAGGCCTCACACTAATAGAAATTCAGTGTGATTTATGCACTTTGCCATCATATAGGCCCTTGAAGATCTACCCATTTTCTTTTCCTATCAATGTGTACTTTGTCATTACCCTTTGGTGTGCTTTCACCTCGCTCACCTTGACTGACTTGCTTTATAGCAGGAAAAGTTTTCTTGAAGTATTTAATGTATTTCCTGAAGTAACTAAATGCATAACTCTAGCTTCCATTTGCACAAAGAACAATGTCTATCTATACCACATGAAGCTATCCTTAGTATAAAGGACATACCACATTTCACAGAGTGGCATGCCTTGGGCCAGTTGCAAAAAGAGCCAGACTGTATATTTGGTGAGTATTTATTTGTTTTATGTGTGCAAAGATATGGAAAACAAGGATTCCTCAATACTGTATTTACAATATC